AAGCCTGCTTGGGATTTTCTCTCTCTTTCTCTGCCCCTCCCCACCTCTCAAAATAAATAAACTTAAAACAAAAATAGAAATCACAGGCTTGGATTTTAATGCTGGATGACATATATTTAATACTCCATTATAGCTGATAATGCCATTAAACCCCTATGTGCAATATTACAGAATGTCAGAGAAGAAGAGAATCTCAGAGTGCATTTTTAAAAAGAACACGCTGTTCCGGGGTCCCTGGGGGCTCAGTCAGTTAAGTGTCCGACTCTTGATTTCAACTCAGGTCATGATCTCATGGTTGTGAGATTGAGCCCCATGTTGGGCTCTGCTGACAGTATGTATATGTGTGTGTGTGTATATAAATACACACACATGAAATGGAATATTACTCAGATATTAAAAAAGAATACAATTTGCAACAACCTGGACAGAACTTGAGGACATTGGGCTAAGTTTTAAAAAAGCCACACAGAGAAAGACAAATACTGTGTGATCTCACTTATCTGTGGACTCTAAATAAACACCACGCTCATAGATACCAAGAACAGATCGGTGGTTGCCAGAGGCAGAGGGTGTGGTGTGGGTGATATCCTGGGGATGCCATGGACAGCATGGTGACCATAGCTAGTAATGCTGTATTGTATGTTTGAAAGTTGCTAAGAGAGTAAATCTTAGAAGTTGTCATATATTTGACAGACTTGATTTTAAAAGCACTCTTATTTTGTGCTTTTAATTTGTCCTTGTATATATTTATCGCTGTCCTGCTTGCCTTCTTTTGAAATATTTTGTATCTTACATTAGTCCCTCTACTGATTTGAAAGTAATACAAAGTGTACTTGTTACTCTAGAAATTAGGATATATATATATCTATATATATCTATATATATCTATATATAGATATATATATCTCCTTACAAAACTCTAATGTTAATAAAGTTAGCCTCCACATTAGATCCTACATTTCTCCATCTGAATTTATATGTAGTTGAACTCTATCCAGATCAGGAGGCCTTTAAAAGGCAAATTATTTCCCAGATTAAATAAAATCACCTCTAGTTTAACAATTTAAAAAGAAACGCAGCCCATATACATTAATATGGCCTCTTTTTTAAAGACAACCAGATCAGGGTTTTTTTTGTTTTTTTTTTTAAATGTTTATTTTGAGAGACACAGCATGAGGTGAGCAGGGAAGGGGGCGAACAAGGAGGGTACAGAATCTGAAGCAGAGTCAAGGCACTTCAGGCTTTCCTTTGGAAACTTGATGAAGCTTGAATCCTAAACCATGAGATCATAACCTGAGCCAAAGTCGGTAAAGCAACGACCGTGAGTGCTGGCCTCTCAATTTAAAAACAAATCAAAGGTGCCTCTGGGTGGATCCATTGGTTAAGTGTCTCACTCTTGGTTTCGGCTCACGTCATGATCTCGAGGTTTGTGAGTCAGTGCGTGGGTCTGCACTGACCGCATGGAGCCTGCTTGGGATTCTCTCTCTCCCTGTCTCTCTGCCCCGCCCCCATGCATGCATGCCCTCTTTCTCTCTCTCAAAATAAATCAACCTAGGGGTGCCTGGGTGGCTCAGTTAACTAGTTAAGCATCCGACTCTTGGTTTCGGCGTGGGTCACGATCTCATGATTCGTGGGTTTGAGCCCCACGTCGGGCTCTGTGCTGATGACGCAGAGCCTGCTTTGGATTCTGTCTCCTCTCTCTGCCCCTCTGTGATATCTTATCTATGATAAATTGTAAGTGTTTCAGCACACATGCGTGTGGCAAACTTCACAGTTGACAAATCTGTCAAGGGTATATGGGGACTTGTTATATTGTCCTTGCAATTTTTCAGTAGGTTTGAAATTTGAAAATAGTTGGAAGAAATAATAAGCCCTTGCCGTCACAGAACTCACATCCCTGGTGGACAAGTAAATTACATGCTGTATATTACAGGGTGGTAAGTGATAGAAAAACCAGGAAAGGAGGGTAATGGTCAGATTAGGCATCACTGATGTGGCCAATATTGAGTGGTTTTGAACAATCGTGAGTCATGGATATGTCTGGAAACAAATTTTCTCAGGAAGAAGTTGTTTAAAGATGTTAAGTGAGAGCAGGAGCAGTGAGAGGGCCTCAGGGCCTGCGCAGAGCTGGCTGCAAGGGGAGTTGTGAGAACAGTGGTGCCAGGCATGTCATGGGCGGGGTGGGGGGCAACCACTGACGGGTTTCCTCTGCTGCATGCTGAGCAAGTGTCAAAGGGCACACTCCCTGGCTGCTGTGTTGGGAACAGGTATCAGGAGGCAAGAGCAGAACCAGGCCAGTCAGGATGCAGTCCAGGACCGTCTTACTTAAAATCTTTAAAATAAATACATAGAATTGTCACAGAGACAGCAGGCCATCTCAGTATGAAATAGAATTCCATAGAGATTTAAATTTGGGAGTCTAAAGCATGTAGATTAAAGATAAGTATGCAAAACATAGTTCTTTGTATATTTCAATGTGCACAAATCCAGTCTCAAGTTCACTCGGTGAAAGTTTGGAGAGAAGTCCAGGAAGGATCCAGCTGAAGAGTGGGGAAGAGGTGCTCTGAAATACTACAAACACCCCATGGGTCCCCCATTCCCTGGGAAGGTCCCCCAGATTGGAATGAAACTGTCCAGCAAGTGTGCTCTTGAGAGCAGATGGGAGGACAGTTTCCCCCTGAGAATTATGTGAGGTGCAGCCCAGGGACTTGCTGACAGGCCTCTGAGCTCCCAAAGCCACTTGACTTGTCATCTGTGCCTGTCCACTCTGTGGGGACCAAGCAGGAGAATAACACGTGCTCCCACCCTAGTGTCTCGTTTTTTGCTCTTGTTCTCTGGCCAATATTGGTTTGAGGGCAGAACAATCCATTTTATAGAAGACTACTTCTGACCCTTAAAGGGGCTGTCGGTTATATATTTTGGAGACTGTGGACTTTAAAGTTTAGGATAAAAATTTAAAAATGTCTCAGGGCAGCTGGCTCAGTCGGTTGAGCATGTGACTTCGGGTCAGGTCATGATCTTGCGGTCCATGGGGTTGAACCCTGTGTTGGGCTGTGCTGACAGTGCAGAGCCTGCTTGGGATACTCTCTCCCTCTCTCTCTGCCCCTTCCCTGCTCATGTTTTCTCTCTCTCAAAATAGATAAATGAAAACTTCTTACAAATGTTTTTTTAAATTTAAGTTTCATTGGCTTTAAAAACCTGAGAGTTGTAAGGAGTCCATCAGGTCAAAGAACATTCATACTTATGTGTTTCAGAGAACAGCAGCAATGTCTACCACTTGCTGAGCATTTACAGAATGTTCAGATCTAATGTCCAATACAGCCATCACGAGCCACTGTAGCTACTGAGTTACTTACCCATGGCTGGCAGCCTAAAACTTGCCAGAGAACTAAAGAACTAGAAATCATAAATGCATTTTGAAGCTATATGACATTTATCATATTTAAGCTACCTAAGTGGGTTAATCTATTATGGCATTAAAATTTTAACCAACCAGACAACAATATCAAAATGTAATTCTTTTTGTTTTTCAATAAAATTAATACTTGCCACATGGTCTTGCCTGAAGTTTTAAGTTAACTGTTCAGGGTTAACACGAAATGGGTTTTTCTACTGAATTTATAAAATATTTAGCTTTGTGGGGCACCTGGGTAGCTCAGTTGGTTGTGTCAGGTCATGATCTCACGGTTCGTGGGTTTGAACCCCATGTTGGGCTCTGTGCTGACAACTTGGAGCCTGGAGCCTGCTTCAGATTCTGTGTCTCCCTCTCTCTCTGTTTCTCCCCAACTTGCTCGCTCGCTCTCTCTCAAAAATAAATAAATATTAAAAAATATATATTTAACTTTAATAATTTTTCATCTTTTTCATTATTTATTATTACACAGCATTTGATAAGACAGCCGTCTTAAGATACCAAATCTGAGAAATCTATGGCAAGAGTTTTAGAAAGTGCATTAAAGTACAATTTAATATTAATTTATACATATTCTATAACCCAAATCTATTTTACATGGACATTAGTCTATTGAATTTTGTTCCCCCTACAATATGGCCTGACTCTGTAGAACAGTGGCTTTCAACTGGGGGAAACTGTCCTCCAGGAGACAGTGGCATCTGGTGTCATTGTGACTGTCACGGGCAGGGGTGTTAATAGCTTTTAGTGGGTAGAACCCAGGGATGCTGCTAAACATCCTCTGACACACAGGATGAACCCTCACAACGAAGAATTATCCAACCCAAATGTCAAGTGTCAAAGTTAAGATATCCTGTAGAGTACAGACAGGATGTCTTAGAGTATAGGATGTCTGATCTGACCCAATTTCTCCTTTACAGAGAGCCTGTCCACTCCAATTCTACAAACTCTACTTCCAATGTGGGCCTTGAACTTATGACTCTGAGATCAAGAGTTGTATGCTTGACAAATTGCAGGGGTACCTGCAACCCTGTCCACTGTAATTCTGAAAGCACATTTTAAAAAAATTTTTATTAATATAATTTGTCAAATTGGCTTACATACAGCACCCAATGCTCATCCCAACAAGTGCCCTCCTCACTGCCCATCACCCATTCACAACCCCCCACCCCCTGCATCCACCCTTAGTTTGTTCTCTGTATTTAAGAGAGTCTCTTGTGGTTTGCCCCTTCCCTCCCCCTTCCCTTCCCCCATGGTCTTCTGTTAAGTTTCTCAAGTTCTACGTATGAGTGAAAACATTTATCTGTCCTTCTCTGACTTATTTCACTCAGCATAATACCTTCCAGTTCCATCCGTGTTACTGCAAATGGCAGGATTTCATCTGAAAGCATAGTTGTAACCAATATCATTACCAAAAGCAATGTTCAACTTTAAGTATCAAAATACTTTCAGAATGATTAATCCCTAAAATCAACTTAGAGTGACAAAAATCAGGACATATACCATTTTATTTCCCTTGAACCTGCTCTACTAGTTAAATCTGCTCACACAGAATGTTAACTTGGACTGTTTTGAAGTAGCTAAGCAAAGAGTTCCCACTGTACATTTTTCCAGACTATGGTAAAAATTTAATGATTTATAATGCATTTGGCAAAGAGCAAAGTGCTCTCAAGTGTGCTGACAATGTTTATCACAACATATGAAAACTGAAGAGCTTCATTTATTTGTTCAAGTATGTTAGCACTGTGATTAGACAAGTTAAATTGCCGTTTTTTTACGATAGCCTCTCATAAATGTCTTTTACAAATAGCAATGCACACATATGGGGGATGTAATATAAAATCAAAAAGTTGGTTGTATTTTTCCACACAAATACTGATTGTAAAGTATCAGTGTTCCAAGTGAGAGTTCTTACGGGGAACCAAATTTTAAAAAATCATGTTAAGTTTACAAAGTAGAGAAATTTTTCAGTATTTTACTAACCCTTCATCTCCACCTGAAATTCACATTCGGTGTATTTTGTCATGGTCAACAAACTGACTCAAATGATTTAAGTTATCCCACCACTTAAAGAGGAAAGCCTCCGCAACAATTTGAAACCATGGAGTTATCTTAATTTCACCACTGGCTGCTTTTTTCAGAAGTTCTTTTAGCTCTTCCTTTGTCACATAACAATAGCTCTTAATCTCATTGGGATCTGGATTCAAAGTTACATTCTTCTTCACAAACAAAATGTAATCAATTTCATGTTCCCCCCAAATACCATCTGATTGAGCCTTGTAGTGAATTCGTGTTAGATAATTAATTTCTTCTGGAGGAACCTAGGATGAAAATAAAATAACAGTTGATTTTATTGAAATAATTACATTAAAAAAAAAAGGCACAGTCACTCAAACCAGATGTGTGACATTCTCCTTCACACCTTAATAATACTTCTTGGGGAAAAAAGTACCATTTTAACTGGATGAGATATACTTTATTTACTCAGGTCTTATTTAAAGGTGACAATTCCAGGAAAGAAAAAGATGATTTCAATTTACAGAATCAGATTTGTAGTTCATATTCCTGAGTATTTCCATAAGAAACCAATTATCTTTGAACTCATCTGTTATAAAAGTAGCCAACTTTATTTTTTTTTTTAACTTTATTTATTCTGAAAGAAGAGAGTGCATGCAAGTGGGGGAGGAGCAGAGAGAGGATCCCAAGCGGGCTTTGAGCTGTCAGCGTGGAACCCGATTCGGGACTCAAACTGACCAACTGCAAGATCATGTACTGAGACCAAATCAAGAGCCAGATGCTTAACCCACTGAGCCACCCAGGTGACTCCATTAATAAACTTTACATACTGGTTAACGGATGAATGTACTTCAGCACTGAGCTAAATTCTGACAAGGAATATGAGGAAATCAAAATTTAAATAATTTGTAATGAAGGTGCTTTCTAGGGCCAGTAACTCACAAGTTCACAAAGCAGAGAACTACCTTAAATTTAAAACTTTATTAAAAATGTTTTAACGTATTTCAATTTTCTAAACAAGATTTCAGCTTGTATGGGTAGTGCAGTGAAATTGGTTACCTCTTCCATGGGGATCCCTAATTCAGCCTTTAAACGCCTCTGTGCTGCTCGCCTTACTCCAATTGCATCATTTTCTTCGAGCTCTCCTGGATTACTTAATGGATGACTACAACAAGTATTGGTAAAATAACCTGGAACATATTAACATAGATGTAGGTTAACTTTCTTGCAAGTAAATCTAAAAGATCAAGAAAATTTATAAGAGTTTTAAAAACAACAGAAAATCAAGTGGCTGAGATTTTCTAAATAAGTTATCATGAGCTATCAGCAATCATTTTGTGAAACAGACATGTTTAGGTAAGTTCTTTATTAATGTCTTCTTAACCAGAAAGATCAAAGTGTATAAATACAAACTTAAAATACATATAATAAAAATATATACTAAGGGGTGCCTGGGTCGCTCAGTTAAGCATCCAACTCTTGATTTCAGCTCAGGTCATGACCTGACCATTTGTGAGATGGAGTCCACGCTGACAGTTTGGACCCCGCTTGGGATTCTCTCTCTCCATCTCTCTCTGCCCCTCCCCCACATGCACATTCTCTCAAACTTTAAAAAATTTTTTTTAACATTTATTTATTTTTGAGACAGAGAGAGACAGAGCATGAACAGGGGAGGGTCAGAGAGAGGGAGACACAGAATCTGAAACAGGCTCCAGGCTCTGA